GTGTGAGCGGGGTACAGGTGGGTACAGAGGTGTGTGAGCGGGGTACGGGCGGGTACAGAGTGTGTGAGCGGGGTACGAGGCGGGTACAGAGTGTGTGAGCGGGTACGGGTGGGTACAGAGTGTGTGAGCAGGGGTACGGGTGGGTACAGAGTGTGTGAGCGGGGTACGGGTGGGTACAGAGGTGTGAGCGGGGTGCAGGTGGGTACAGAGTGTGTGAGCAGCGGGGTACGGGCGGGTACAGAGTGTGTGAGCAGGGTACGGGCGGGGCCAGAGTGTGTGAGCGGGGTACGGGCGGGTACAGAGTGTGTGAACGGGGTACGGTGGGTACAGAGTGTGTGAGCGAGGTACCGGTGGGTACAGAGTGTGTGAGCGGGGTACGGGTGGGTACAGAGTGTGTGAGCGGGGTACAGGCGGGTACAGAGTGTGTGAGCGGGGTACGGGTGGGTACAGAGTGTGTGAGCGGGGTACGGGCGGGTACAGAGTGTGTGAGCGGGGTACGGGCGGGTACAGAGTGTATGAGCGGGGTACGGGTGGGTACAGAAGTGTGTGAGCGGGGTACGGGCGGGTACAGGGTGTGGAGCGGGGTACGGGCGGGTACAGAGTGTGAGCGGGGTACGGGCGGGTACAGAGTGTATGAGCGGGGTACGGGCAGGGGACGACCAGGGGTGCCCTAGTGGGTGGCAAAGAGTGACGACCACCTTCCGGCACATCACCAGAGGTCGTTGCAACACTGACACCATCACGACCCCATTACACCTTGCAGTATCCGCCTGGCGTCACGACCCACCACCCCAGCTTCCACTCTTCCCTACACCACCACACTAAACCAGGGTCACGTGGAGGGGGCAGTAAAGTGACGAGTGTTTGTGTCTAGGACAATTACTCCTGGGCGCTGGAGACAGGTGACAAGGGTGGGAAACAGTACCTAACTTACAGCATGTATATACCCTGCAGCGCCTTCCACCCCCCCAACCAAACATTAACATGCCGAGCTCCTTAATCCCGCGTTAATACCTGCCCATTGTACCAACCTCACGTACGCGGTCCAATAACTTTCCAGAGGCTCGGATGATCTCAATGCGGAGGTAACCTGCCGTAAAGTTCTCCAGGTTCCAGGTTCCAGTGTGTGTAACCCTATCCTACCTGCCTGGGGGCCCCGCTCACCTGGTGTACACCCCGCGGCTGCCTTAACCAAATGACACCTGGATTACTGCCGGCCTGGACTACTCTCCCCCCACCCCTGAGCCTGTTAACGAGGGGGCTGTTTCTTTTAGCTTCAAGGACCTCGAGTGATTTTCCTTAACACCTTTTTCAATTAGGATAGGTTAGGTTAGGTTAGGATAGGTTAGGTTAGGTTAGGATAGGTTAGGTTAGGTGGTGACCTCTGATCCCAGGAGTAGAAGGAATAGTGACGCATCTCGCCCTCTCATTAGTTGTGACGGGTCTGTGGGGGGCATTGTTTACCTGTGGTGAGGGGTGAGGTAGGTGGGGAGGAGGAAAAGGGGAGGGAAGAAGAAGAAGAGGTGTCAGAGGATATCTTAGAACTGAGAAATGTTGAGAACACCAAAAACTGATGAAGAGAGAGAAGAGACGAACGATAAGATAGATTAAGGAGAGATAATCGGGGAAGATAAAACAGACAATAACAAGAGAATAGGGAAAAACAGGAAACAACGATTGAGATTAAAGATATGGGGAGAGGAGAGTGATGGTGGTGGTGGTGGTGATAGTGGTGGTGTCAGGTGCCTGGGTCAGCTAAGGTAGGGGAGTGGGGGAGGTCAACAATGCTCCTCGTCTCGTATTACCGCCCCTACACCACACAACACAACATACCACCAACAACACAAACAGCACCACAACACCACAACCACCATCACAACACAACCAGCACCACAACACCACAATAACCACAACCACCATCACAACACAATACAACACCACCACAACACAATACATCACCACCACAACACACACACACACCACAACACAAACCAACACAACACAAACACAAACACACACACAACACAAACAGCCACCAGTAATTAACACCTGGTCACCTGAATATCACTTACTCAGGTGCCAAGAGCGAGGTGAAAATATTGACAACATTTTAATTTATTTGTTTTAACGAAGGAATATAATTTGAGGTTGAGACGTGTGGTGGAGGTGTGTGTGTGGTTGGTTCATTATTCCACCACCTACTACCACCGCAACTGTCCGTCACAACCACCACTGCAACCGCCCACCACCACAATTGTCTACAACCACAACTAATACCACCACAACAGCTGTCCAGCTCCACCACCATAACTCACCACCACCACCAACCACCACCACAACTGCCCACCACCACAACTGTCCACCACCACTACCACAACTGTCCACCACCACAACCAACTGTCCACCACCACCACCACAACAGTCCACCACCACCACCACAACTGTCCACCACCACTACCACAACTGTCCACCACCACCACCACAACTGTCCACCACCACCACAACTGTCCACCACCACACCACAACTACCACCACACAAACGCCACCACCACACCACAACTGTCCACCCCACCACCACAACTGTCCACCACCACCACCACAACTGTCCACCACCACCACCACAACTGTCCACCACCACCACCACAACTGTCCACCACCACCACCACAACTGTCCACCACCACCACCGCGTAAACAAAACATTATAATAGACACTGTGGCCGCCTCCTCGTACCTGCCTGGCCGAGGGTCTCACACACACACACACACACACACACACACACACACACACACACACACACACACACAATAATCACATAAAAACGATCTATTTTACACATTAGAGGTGAATAAAGAGATGTTGTGGTGTGTGTGTGTGGATGTGCGTGTGTGTGTGATGTGTGTGTGTGTGTGTGTGTGTGTGTGTGTGTGTGTGTAGGACGTCAGGAGCCACTATGACCGTGACACGAGCGACCTGTGTGGTCCACTCTCCCCTCCCCGTCCCTCTCTGTCTCTCCTCCTCAACCCCACCTTACTCCCCCACCGTCTATTCTCTACCTCCACCCCCTCCTCCTCCTTCTCTCCCCCACTACATTCACTCCCTCCCACTAGGTGACCGCACACACACGCATCTCATTCTCCCCACACACTCTCACTCTCGCACACGCACTTTAAGCAACACACGCACGGTCCATCAACTGTCACTCTCACACTCAAACACAGATATACACTCAACTTGATACACAGACACACGTAACTCCCCCAGGTAACTCACCCCTGGCCACCTGGACCACGTAATCCCCAGGTAACTCCCAGGTAACTCACCCCTGGCCACCTGACCACGAACCCCCCCAGGTAACTCACCCCTGGCCACCTGGACCACGTAATCCCCAGGTAACTCTCACCCGGCCACCTGGACCCACGTAACTCCCCAGGTAACTCACCCTGGCCACCTGGGACCACGTAACTCCCCAGGTAACTCACCCCTGGCTACCTGGACCAAGTAACTCACAAGAAAATTGCCCCCCGCCACATTATATCTTTGGCTCCTGTCCTCCTCCTTAAGTTCCCTTCACCTGTGTTCACCTGTACTGTCATTGTGTTCATGTGTACTCTGTGTTCACTCGTACTCTGACTGTGTTCATTTGTACACTGTGTTCTGTACTTGTCCAATCACACACTCGTGCTCACCACAGAGAGAGAGAGAGAGAGAGAGATCTACAGCAGGTGTAAAGACAAAGTGACCTCGAGAGCCCATGGAAACACCTATCGTGAGAACTCGTGAAGGCAGGTCGCCGTCATCCCCTGCTGCCACTCCTACTGGTAAAGTATGTGTTGTGGCGCCACCTTCACACGCCACCAGCAGTTGATGGTCTGCCATGGCCCACATAACTTACAACTGCACCACACACACACACACTTTCAAGGCATCGCACTTTTTTTTTCCCTCGTCCTAAAATCACTAAGTCTTTTGTTTGACCTTGTGTGTGTTTTTGGTTTGTTGTTTTGTATTTGTTTCTCTTGTTTGAGATCATTAACACCTGTACATCAATTACGTTCTATAAGCATATGTTGTTGACTCTGATTCCTGATTATACCTCCCCCGTTCCTCAACACCACACACACACACACACACACACACACACACACACACACACACACACACACACACACACACACACACACACACGAAGGAAGAAAGGAAAGGACACTCCCAGAGACAAGGAACCATATACTACTACTACGATACACACCCTAAGAGACCAGACCAGACCAGACCAGACCAGACCAGACGAGACAAAAATGGCAGGCCGACCGAAGCCCAGCGAGGCCACTTTCGACCTCAGCCATACAAGCACTGTCTTCCTCAATGTCTCAGCCAAACAAGCACAGTCTTCCTCAATGTCTCAGCCAAACAAGCACTGTCTTCCTCAATGTCTCAGCCAAACAAGCACTGTCTTCCTCAATGTCTCAGCCAAACAAGCACTGTCTTCCTCAATGTCTCAGCCAAACAAGCACAGCCCTCAATGTCTCAGCCAAACAAGCACTGTCTTCCTCAATGTCCTCAGCCAAACAAGCACAGTCTTCCTCAATGTCTCAGCCAAACAAGCACTAGTCTTCCTCAATGTCTCAGCCAAACAAGCACAGTCTTCCAATGTCTCAGCCAAACAAGCACAGTCTTCCTCAATGTCTCAGCCAAACAAGCACAGTCTTCCTCAATGTCTCAGCCAAACAAGCACTGTCTTCCTCAATGTCTCAGCCAAACAAGCACTGTCTTCCTCAATGTCTCAGCCAAACAAGCACTGTCTTCCTCAATGTCCCAGCCAAACAAGCAATAGTCTTCCCCAATGTCTCAGTGAAACAAGCACAGTCTTCCTCAATGTCTCAGCCAAGCACAGTCTTCCTCAATGTCTCAGCCAAACAAGCACTGTCTTCCTCAATGTCTCAGCCAAACAAGCACTGTCTTCCTCAATGTCTCAGTGAACAAGCACTGTCTTCCTCAATGTCTCAGCCAAACAAGCACTGTCTTCCTCAATGTCTCAGCCAAACAAGCACTGTCTTCCTCAATGTCTCAGCCAAACAAGCACTGCCTCCTCAATGTCTCAGTGAAACAAGCACAGTCTTCCTCAATGTCTCAGCCAAACAAGCACATGTCTTCCTCAATGTCTCAGCCAAACAAGCACTGTCTTCCTCAATGTCCAGCCAAACAAGCACTGTCTCTCCTCATTGTCTCAGCCAAAAGCACTGTCTTCCTCAATGTCTCAGCCAAACAAGCACAGTCTTCCTCAATGTCTCAGCCAAACAAGCACAGTCTTCCTCATGTCTCAGCCAAACAAGCACTGTCTTCCTCAATGTCTCAGCCAAACAAGCACAGTCTTCCTCAATGTCTCAGCTAAACAAGCACTGTCTTCCTCAATGTCTCAGCCAAACAAGCACTGTCTTCCCCAATGTCTTCAGCCAAACAAGCACTGTCTTCCTCAATGTCTCAGCCAAACAAGCACAGTCTTCCTCAATGTCTCAGCCAAACAAGCACAGTCTTCCTCAATGTCTCAGCCAAACAAGCACTGTCTTCTCAATGTCTCAGCCAAACAAGCACAGTCTTCCTCAATGTCTCAGCCAAACAAGCACTGTCTTCCCTCAATGTCTCAGCCAAACAAGCACTGTCTTCCTCAATGTCTCAGCCAAACAAGCACTGTCTTCCTCAATGTCTCAGCCAAACAAGCACAGTCTTCTCAATGTCTCAGCCAAACAAGCACTGTCTTCCTCAATGTCTCAGCCAAACAAGCACTGTCTTCCTCAATGTCTCAGCCAAACAAGCACTGTCTTCTCCATGTCTCAGCCAAACAAGCACTGTCTTCCTCAATGTCTCAGCCAAACAAGCACTGTCTTCCTCAATGTCTCAGCCAAACAAGCACAGTCTTCAATGTCTCAGCCAAACAAGCACTGTCTTCCTCAATGTCTCAGCCAAACAAGCACTGTCTTCCTCAATGTCTCAGCCAAACAAGCACAGTCTTCTCCTCAATGTCTCAGCCAAACAAGCACAGTCTTCCTCAATGTCTCAGCCAAACAAGCACTGTCTTCCTCAATGTCTCAGCCAAACAAGCACAGTCTTTCCCTCAATGTCTCAGCCAAACAAGCACTGTCTTCCTCAATGTCTCAGCCAAACAAGCACAGTCTTCCTCAATGTCTCAGCCAAACAAGCACAGTCTTCCTCAATGTCTCAGCCAAACAAGCACAGTCTTCCTCAATGTCTCAGCCAAACAAGCACAGTCTTCCTCAATGTCTCAGCCAAACAAGCACAGTCTTCCTCAATGTCTCAGCCAAACAAGCACAGTCTTCCTCAATGTCTCAGCCAAACAAGCACAGTCTTCCTCAATGTCTCAGCCAAACAAGCACAGTCTTCCTCAATGTCTCAGCCAAACAAGCACAGTCCTCCTCAATGTCTCAGCCAAACAAGCACAGTCTTCTCAATGTCTCAGCCAAACAAGCACAGTTCTTCCTCAATGTCTCAGCCAAACAAGCACTGTCTTCCTCAATGTCTCAGCCAAACAAGCACAGTCTTCCTCAATGTCTCAGCCAAACAAGCACAGCCTCAATGTCTCAGCCAAACAAGCACAGTCTTTCTCAATGTCTCAGCCAAAAAGCACAGTCTTCCTCAATGTCTCAGCCAAACAAGCACAGTCTTTCCTCAATGTCTCAGCCAAACAAGCACTGTCTTCCTCAATGTCTCAGCCAAACAAGCACAGTCTTCCTCAATGTCTCAGCCAAACAAGCACAGTCTTCCTCAATGTCTCAGCCAAACAAGCACTGTCTTCCTCAATGTCTCAGCCAAACAAGCACAGTCTTCCTCAATGTCTCACCAAACAGCACTGTCTTCCTCAATGTCTCAGCCAAACAAGCACAGTCTTCCTCAATGTCTCAGCCAAACAAGCACAGTCTTCCTCAATGTCTCAGCCAAACAAGCACTGTCTTCCTCAATGTCTCAGCCAAACAAGCACAGTCTTCCTCAATGTCTCAGCCAAACAAGCACAGTCTTCAATGTCTACTCAAACAAACCACTGTCTTCTCAATGTCTCAGCCAAACAAGCACTTGTCTTCCTCCATGTCTCAGTAACATAATGCTGAGAGATCTAACCTTCACTAAGACTGTGGAAGGAAGTGGGACTGAGAAATATAGAGACACGTTCAGTAGCTGTGTGTCGTGTTGAGGGCCAGAGCGTATAGCAGTTACCTTACCTAGCAACACTCTCATGTCTGCCATCGTTAATAAAATGAAAATAAAAATGACGGAAGAGGAGGAAGTGGAAGAAGAGGTGGAAGGGGAAGAGGAGGTGGAAGAGGAGGAAGGGGAGGAGGAGGTGGAAAAGGAAGGAGGAGGAGGTAAGGGAAGGAGGAGGAGGAAGAGGAGGAGAAAAGAAGGAGGAGGGAGAGGTTGATGAAAAGAGGAGGAGAAGAGGAAGTGGATGAAGAAGAGGAGGAAGAAGAGGAGGAGGAGGAGGCAAAGGAGTAGGAGGAGGAGGAACTAGACAGCTCGAGAAGAACGATAATGAGACAATGATGATGAATAGAAGGAGGAGAAGAAGAAGAAGAAGAAGAAGAAGAAGACGAAGAAGAAGAAGAAGGAAGAAGAAAATTGAAGACAGAAAGGTCACAATATGATACCAGAGAACCGGATGACGGGTACGAATCCATTAACCGGATCACATGTTGCTATCCGGTTAATTGACAACACAAACAACTTTAAATAAAAATAAATTTAGAAAGAGCTGATTCTAAACAGGATTCCACTACAGTACCAAACGAGCTCATTATATACTGAAACAGCTCTTTATATTATATTCTTCAACTTCCTTTTATCAGAAATTTCCTTATGACAAATTCCCCCGTCAGAAATGTCCCTATATCCAGAAAGTTCCCCTAACCACTGTATCACCGCGCGCTCAACACACACACACACACACACACTGCAATCTCACCTAGACACTCTCAGGTACACAGGTGTTATAAGCGGTGTACTTCAGCAGGTAAGATAATTAATCCCATCACCTGGTCTACGTAGCCTTGTTTCTATATACGAGGGTGGGTGAGGGAAGGTGGGTCTGGGAAAGTGGGTCTGGGAAGGTGGGTCTGGGAGGCAGGGAGGGCAAGGAGGGTAGGTCAGAGAAGATGAATCGGGAAGGCAGGGTGGGTGGGTGGGTGGGTGGGTTAAGGTGGGTGGAGACAAAGCAACAGTCAGCCAAGTCACATCAACACCAGGTAGGAGAGACATTACCTGTGGTCCTTACTCGGGCAGATCACACCACTTTAGGTTCCTTCTACGTCAAACAGAAGCCTCACAGGTGTACACAAGAGCCTACACACCTGCACCATCCTCCTTAGACAGTATATACCTGCACTATCATCCCCTTAGACCGTATATACCTGCACTATAGTCATCTTAAACCGTATATACCTGCACCATACTCCTCTTAGACAGTATATACCTGCACCATACTCTTAGACCGTATATACCTGCACCATACTCCTTAGACCGTATATACCTGTGGCTGCAAACACTGACTCGAGATGGGGAGGGGGGAGGACCTGTAAACACGAGCGTTTTTTTCGGTAAACAATGTAAAACCTGCAGTGATGGTTGACGTAAAAAATCTCGATTCTGGTGATCTATTTAGTCCCCGTACACAGCGGACACTTCACGGACACACAGCGGACACTCAAAAGGCCACACGACGGATACATGACGGATACAGGACACACGACGGACACTCAAAAGGCCACACGACGGATACATAACGGACACAGCGTCACATAGCTTACAAAGGTTATCAAGTCGGTGGAAGGCTAAAAATACCTATACGTGTCCCAACTTTCACCTCTCTAAGACACATGAACGCAGGTGTTTGCATGATGTCCAAGTACCGCCTGGAACACCTGTTTGTGGCATCATACAGGTGTTAACAGGACGTCCACCAGCCATTGTGTTTAAGCCAAGATCCTTCAGGAATTCAAGACACATCCTGTTCTCAACCTCTCCCCCTGCAGTGTGTGTTGTATAATATGGTCCCCGTCACGGTCACTCCACCCTAAGATTTGTTACCACTCACTCAAGGCAGCTGCGTCACTCTCCTGGACCACAAGGCCATCAACAGCAGCATACCAGACAGCACCTTCAGGAACTTACTTGGTACGGCACCGCCCATGACACTTACACACTTTCATCCTGTCCCTCTTTCACCTCCCTCCACCTTCCACCTCCAACCCACCATGACTAACCTCCCACCTGTCCTCGATCACACCTCCCTAACACTCAAGACAAGACGAGGCGAGACAAGACGAGACAAGTTCTACCTCCACACAGCAGTTGGCTCTACGTGAATCCTAACCACACACACACACACACACACACACACACACACACACACACACACACACACACATACATGGGATGACATCATATCTTACTAGGGTGAAGTGGTTCTCCTCAAGGCACTGGACGAGAGGAGAAGGGAAGGGGTGGGGAGAAGGGAAGGGGGGTGGGGAAGGAGGGGTGGGGAGGGAAGGGGTGGGGGGAAGGAAGGGGTGGGGAGAAGGAAGGTGGGGAGAAGGGAAGGGGGTGGGGGAAGGAAGGTGGGAGAAGGAAGGGGAAAAAGGAAGGGGTGGGGGGAACGAAGGGGTGGGGGGGAAGGAAGGGGTGGGGGACAAGGAAGGGGTGGAGGAAGGATAGAGGAAGGGGACAACTACTGGAAGGGGTGTGTTAATGTAATGGTGGTGGTGGTGGTAAGGGTGTGGTGGTGGTGGTGGTGGTGGTGGTGGTGGTGGTAGGGTGGTGGTGGTGGTGGCACACGCGAATTCTTCACCTTAGCTTGGACAACAACAATCAATACAACAAAACAACAACTATCAACATCATGGCACAGCAAAAACATGGCAACCCACAACAACAACAATTACAAACAATAGTAACACACACACACAGAGAGAGAGAGAGAGAGAGAGAGAGAGAGAGAGGACGAAACATAAAAATAATATTACAAAGAAAGAAAGAAAGAACGGTGAAAACAGGAAGATGTGACCAAGAATATCCAGCGTGGAATGTCAAGTGGGGGCACGGGCACACACACACACCTGCAGCTGCAAGACCACTTACTCCCCACTTAACCCCCCACTTGGGTGTCGGCAGGGCAGCCTCTCAGGACGCACGTGCTCTGGGGTGCAGTGTCTGGCTCTGTGTGTGTGTGTGTGTGAGGGAGAGTATGCAACACCCACACAAGGAGCCAGTGGTAAGTAAAGGGGGGAGGGAGGAGAGGGGGGAAGGAGGGGGGGGGAGGGAGGGAGGGAGGGAGGAGGGAGGGAGGGGAGGGAGGGAGGGAGGGGGGGAGGAGGGAGGGAGGGGAGGGAGGGTCAAGCATACACAAGATGAGGGAGGCAGAGCACTATACAAGATCGCCTCACCACCACACACCCCACACACTCCCTCACCTCCTCCTCACGCACTCACCCCTACACCTCCTCATCCACACACACACACACACACACACATTGTTTGTTTACATGCCAGGCGGAGAAAAGATTTAATTTCACAACTGAGGGTGGGCGGGGGTGGTGGGCAGGGGGTGGGTCCAGTGGGTTGGGTTGGGTCTCACCTGTACACTACCACTCCTTTATGTTGCTATGTTATAAATACCATCATCTGTATTTCTATTAGTAAACGTTATATAATATTGGTATCAACTCTCACTGAAAACATAACCTCCTTCCTTCCTTCCTTCATCACGCTCTCCTCCCTCCTCCTTCATCACACCCTCCTCCCTCCCCCTCCATCACACATTCTCCCTCCCTCCCTGCTTCACCACATCTCCCTTCCGCCGTCCTTCCCCTATCCACACTTCCCTCCGTCCCTCCCTCCAACACCCCTCCATCATCCTCCTCCTCCCTCCATCACCATCACAGGAGGACATAACGCCGCTTAATACCTCATCTCATTTCCTCTCCGTAATGACTCTCACCTGGCTATTACCCCACCTTACCTCCATACGCCTCACCTTCCTCACTCTTACCTCCATACGCCCACCTCTCACTACTCCATACGCCTCACCTTCCACTCTACCTCCATACGCCTCACCTTCCTCACTCTTACCTCCATACGCCTCACCTTCCTCACTCTACCTCCATACGCCTCACTCTCCATCTACAAAGGAGGAGGGGAGAGGGGGGACACGCATGCACCTCACCAACACAGTCCCTCCTCCACCTCACCTCATTACTAACTGATCCAAGCCACCTCCCCCCACTCTCACTTTTAACACAGCGGACGTCCACTGTACGCTACTTCAATCACACTCTCCATCATTTTCTTTTCAGGGTTTTCGTCCTTTTCATTGTTCATACAGTACAAAACACACATAAATCATCATCATCATCATCATCATCATCATCATCGTCATCATCGTCGTCACATCATCGGACCTTCAGTTTTGGTTTCGCTGTTGGGGAAGAGGGGGAAAGGGGAAGAGGAAGAAGACCAGGAGGAGGAAGAGGGGGAAGAAGAGGAAGAGGAAGAGAGGGGAGGAAGAGGACAAGAGAGGTCACACCAGCAATATACTGTAGTATCCTGTGTTGTGTATACGAGTGTAATCCACAGGAGGCTTCACCACTACCATTACATTGGGGACTGTGGTGACGCCCGCCCACACCACACCATACCACACCACACCACACCACACCACACCACACCACAGTACGTTTACATTTCATTCACCAACAGAATAATAATATATACAGGTAAACCAATCAACACCAACAGACTACAGGTATATATATATGCCCCAGAACCAAAACACCATACCACACCATACCAGCCTCACGTGCACCATCATCCCAGGCCGCCACTACACACACAAGCCGTCTTACCCAAACAAACAAACGCCACGTATAAGATGATGCAGATGTGTCAGGTGTGTGTATCAGTCAGATGTTGAAAGATATAGAGCAGCGGTGCCGTGTAGTGGTGAGTGTAGGCAGCCCGAGTGTCCTGTGTCGGCGAGTCGATTGGGGTTGGGTTGGGTGGAGTGAGGTTGGGTTGGGTGGAGGATAGGTTGGGTGGAGTGGGGTTGG